AAACGACCTTTAGTTACTAAATTCGATAAAAACCTTTTTACGAGGGCTTTTAAATATTCCGCTTATGAATATGACATTCATTCTTGGCGCCGACGCTAAGGCTGCGTTTATACTTTGCGGCAGCGTAGCGTAGCGCGTATGCGGCTTCCGGACGGCGCCGCGTAAAACGCCACGCCCGGCCAGTGCTCGGGGGAGAGCGGATGCATATCGAATCTAGCGTTCCCAGCGTCAGCGTCACGCTAGCGTACGCCAGCGTTTCTCCAGCGTTTCACCAGCGTTTTGCTAGCGTTTGCAGCGGCAGGGAGTAGAGACTATGTGGCCGTAAGAGACGCGGAATCGACGTGTATTGTAGAGACTATGTGGCCGTCAGAGACGCGGAATCGACGTGTTGTCTGGCAGAGCACTATGTCGGCCGTCAGAGCGACGCAGAATCGCCATGTGTGTCTGTCAGAGACCTGAGGCGACTGACGAGACGCGCAATCGATGTGCTTTGTACCCTCCAGCTCTCCCATAGTCTCTACTCCCCTGCCGCTGCAAACGCTAGCAAAACGCTGGTGAAACGCTGGAGAAACGCTAGCGTAACGCTGGTGACGCTGGGAACGCTAGATCGATATGCATCCTCTCCCCAGCACTGCCGCTGGCGTACGCTGGAAGCGCTACGCTACGCTGCCGCAAAGTATAGACCGGCAGCCCAAAGGAGGACACTACAACGAGCATCTGCATTGTGTGAGCGCTGGGCCTCGCCTGAAGGGAATCACACCATGTCTCTGGTCCAGTCTTAGAAGAGCGCCAAACCGAAAATGAATTCGTGTTCGTGATCACGGCACCCAACCTGATTATGCAAGTTTACACCGATTTTGGTGGGAAAAGTGGGAGCGCATTGGCGCCAACAAATGGCCAGGTTAAAGGGGGGATGTCATAATAATTATCTGGGCGTCGATTGACCCCGTATGCCGCCCAGAGTCTTTCATCAAGATTTTTCATACAGTTTTTGAGCCATAACCTAGCAGCTACAAGTAGGCACCGAAATACCTTTTGTGAGCATGAAACAATCAAAATTCCCTTTGGGTGAATCCGTTTTGCGGTCTCCTATGGGGTCTCTGGATACCTGTCAACAGGAAAACTCCCTCCTCCGTCCTTTTTTCTTCCTCATCTCTTCTTTTTCTACCTTCCTTCTCTATTTCCTCTTCATTAATTTCGTTTTTTCGAGTGCTCGGGCCAAAATACACGATGAGAAAGATTGCGCGTCAGGCAGCTCGCTCAATCCTGTCGCAGATGGCAACCAAACTTTCTGTTGATTCTCTGCACTCTCCAACCTGGCAATGCGTTCCTCATGACTACTGTGCCGTTCGCATATTCGCAGGATTTTCCGACAACAGTAAATGGAGGTCATGCTTATGCCCGAAAAGGACACTCTCCTGGCCAGCGACATGCTTTTTTGCACCTTTCGATACTTTGGAAGCCACAGTCTCCTATTTCAATACGCTCCGGCTTTTTGCGCCATGAAATCCACTAAAAGCTGCACCCTCAGGTATCCTATTTGGCCATCGCTGTTATGTCTGCTTTACGACCAATGTTTCAGCATTCCAGAATTGCCGTTTTTAAGTCTTTAGTGTCTAATCTCAGCGAAAATGACAGTTTGCCCAGCAATGCTTCCTTTTTACAGCTGCCCAGCTCTTATCATATCGCTTCACATCTTGTCACCTTTCAATTTCGGCTTACAGGAAAGAAAACTTGACGGAGACTTTTGCTTTTTCGAACTTTCTTTTCAGGTTGAAAAGAATAAAAATGTAAGCTGAGGCCGCACAAGGTTTCGCCAGAACTTCACGCGTTCAAGAACGATCACGATGTTGAAATTAGGCACCTGCCTTTTTGATATGTTTACGACGAGCGGACCAGATTCGCAGGTGTAGAGCGAAGTGAAGGTCATGAAAAACGGCTAAATTGAGAACCGCCGCTGACAGGTACGCGGGCTCAATAGGCGACACAAGACGCCACGGATGAAGGTGTGATCAGCGCGGCAGCTTATAATCCACGATAACTCTTCTCGGCACGCCTTTTGTTTGTCACAACGAATTTATTATTCTGGCCATTTATTATTCTGCTTATCTGAGAACCGAGACGGGTTCGCGCTGAAGCAAAACCGAATGACGCAGTCAAAGGGGGGGGGCATAAGAGTGAATTCATACCTTGCGGCACGTTTTGAGCGTCCACAAGCGTTTTCAGCAGTGATCGATACCACATTTTCCTAGTCGCTCGAAACGCTCAAAACACCGGCGGACGCTCACAACGCTGCCGTACGAGAGTTTAATTTTTACCTCTACCTACGAACTAGTGACTGAAAACACTGGCACACCTCACGACTGAAAACACTGGCACACCTCACGACGTTGACGCGAAGTGTGAACGCAACATACGAGCTACCATTCCCCATTGTCGCGGAGTATGAACGTACTCTAACGCCAGGAGAAAAGAAGGACAGAGTTGCCAAGACTTCAGTCTTGAACAATCTAATTAGAAGAAGAAATAGACGTAGGTAGAGAAACCACTACAAAGCAGCAATGATTCGTTTCGTCCCCTACCTCATTTCGCCCACCCCGGGACTTGTCAGTGAGTTAGGGTGGGCGAAATGAGAACTAAGGAATACGAAGGACTCAAGAAGCCCAGGAAGAAATGGACAGAAGACTGAGCAACCTTCTGGAGGCTGCCGATTATCTATCTCAAGAATTCCCTTCGTATCCAAGTGTACTTTACTTGAGAAATTGCTGAGCGCTTGTGAGTGACCAACGATGACTTGCTACCCCTGTATTGAAAGCGTCAAGATTAACGACCAATGTGAATTCAGATCACATCTAGCAATAACTCCAAATGACTTCAATACCGGCTATTTTCCTACATCTCATATGGAAAGGAAATTGCATTCAACAAACAACACAGCAGCGCATCAGCAGCGTAAATGGATTTTCAGGATGACTAGGTGAGAAAAAAAGCTGCCTGGTAGGAACATTATCTTTCTGAGTCAGAGTTTCTGAGAGGAAGCGATCACAAGAGCAAGTCAATTCGATACGATATGAGGCAGAACTTGTAACTCCACAGTTAGAGAGTAATTCGTATCATCTGATGCCTACCCATGGAATCAGACAATCAGACCCCCGAGAAGAGAACTGCATATCCAAAGAAGAACGTCTACATATCGCCCTACATGACTAGAACTTGTCCTTGTAGTTCAGCAGCTTTGATCGATTGCTCACGGCCCATAATTACACGAAACTGCTGCCGACTATGGGAAGGGTATAATTACATGCAATCTCAAAAGGGGTCCGGCTAATATCCCACTAGTTCTCTTACTATAGGGTATGTTAGTGAGCGATCTACTGAGAAATTAGCCTTATTTCTCTCTTCTAACCATGTCATCAGAGAGAAAAAAGCATGGTGGCGCTCAGAAAAAAGCAAAATAATATTTGAAATCCTCCTGAAGGGAAAACAGCTTGCTCGAGATCAGGTCGCGTGAAGGTCGAGTGGACCCAAACTATTCGTTGTCTTCGAAAAATCGTTCAATCTTTCAAGGTAATCCCAATTCTGCAAATGGACTACTTCGACGACTCGGCCACAGCTATCAGCCCGCTCTCGCACTGCTGTGTCTGCGCACCTCTACACTATTACAATAAGGTCGCGTTCATACTTCGCGACTGATTAGTTCCGGCGATTTGTGAGATTGCGGGACCAGGAAATTATAGGTATCAATCTTGCGAGTGGGGAGATTGAGGCTTGGGCGATTCGGCGTTTCCGGCGATTACGCGCCAAATTCGGTTTGAGAGACTCGGCGATTGGGGACTGTTGGGGACTCTGCCGTATGGCCGAGTCTCTGCAATCGTAGTGACGAGCCTCGATCGATACTCATCCACTCCGTTGGCGCGCCATCGCTATAAACGCCGAGTTTTCCTAATCGTTGGATCGCTCAACTCCACAGTCGCCAAATTGATACTTATGCTTTCTTCGTGCAGTCTCTCAAATCGCCGAATCTCCTCAGTCGCAGAGTATGGAAGCGGTCCAACTGAGACATCACAGTGATAAAAACAGCGGTGAAAGGCGTACAAAACAAAATCACTGTACCATCCGTGACATGTGTGCCAAAATGAAAAGAAATTAGTAAATGAAAGAAATCTCAGATAAATAAAATGGGCCCGACTTCACAGAAACAATTGGAAAACAAACTCACACAAACCAACCCAGGCATATTCCACTGAAACAGATCATCTGCATTCGACGAACGTTTATTTCTTCATCATAAACAATTTCAACGATACACGCCTCAATAAACAGAACTAATTGCACCAAACAATGGAGGGCTTTCTATTGATAAAACAATTATTTCGTGGCTGAAAATTGCTAAATAGAGAGTGTAATTGAGAAGTTCATTGAAACCACCGCATAATTATTGAACAAACAGTTCGAACCTCAAAAATCGTTATCTAATTGATGCATGTTCCCGTATTAGCAGAAATGTAGAGCCAAGCTAACCTTGGATTGATATTGGAACAAAGCAAATATTTAGAAAACTGGGAGCTCTTCGAGGACGGGGGGGGGGGTGAGGGTGGCATCTGAACCCTTCTACTTCCCATCAACGCTTGACCCATCTAGAGAGCCATTTCGTGAGCTTACAAGGGTTGGCAGGTTTTATCATGGTGGCTAGACCAGCTTGCTTACGGCTTAGCAGGATCTATTTTCACCAAAGTGAGACTTGTAAACCGGAAGTAATGACGCAGTGAAAACCATGCAAAATGGCCCCGATCCCCTGTCGCTGATAACTGTGCGAAGGACTGTATCAAATAACGTAAATGGACTACGTTCAGCAAACACAGGGAAGTTCGAACCGCAAGAGTAGAAAATAGGTTAAAAACTCAAGCCATTATGCAATATAAATATAATAGGATTCTATAATGAATAATAGTATCTAACGGCATTTGGATGTGGAGGACAAGTGAACTCCTAGTGGGGCTTCACGTATCCATTCCTGTACTATCTCCATCTCTATCCAGATTGGCAACCAACGGCTTTCCTGAAAAGATTGCATTGTGAAATGATAGTACCGAGCTAGAGAGAAGGAGGAGAGCTCGGCGTCAGCCGGGCGATCCGACTCGGTAGCTACTAGAACAGGGACATTGGCAACCAAATAGTCAAATTGAATTCCGCAGGCGGGTCCTGAATTTCCGGGAAAAAATCTTGCAAAAATACGACCGCCCCTCAAAAAAACTTCTTTTCTCTTGTGTACGACCCCCCCCTCCCTCCCGCCCATCACCTTCCTCCACTTTCCGCAGGTCTTTTTTCAAGAAAATCATTCCCTATTCCTCCCTCCAAAGACCAGACCACCCCTCGCTGGGAATCTCCTACGGGTGAGCGTGTGACGAGCGTTGATTGGAATGGCCAATTTCACTTCTCGACAAATTAATCTCCGGAGAAATAGGCTCCAACATGATTAGAGGAATAAATGTAACAAGAAGATAAGAAACTTTCAATGGAAGTCTTCTGCCTGTAAGTAAACCACCAGTGGCACGAGAACATGAGTTTGAGTTACCAACGCCTAAACGCCAAATTTACGCTACGGTCGTCCTCTAAAATGACCAGAACCACCTTGATCTGGTCGCTTCGGAGGAGGTCCACCTCCTGGATGAGGAGGCACTGGTCGTTTGTGAGAAGGCACACCAGGCCGCACGCCTTGAGGACGCCGTTGGTCACCAGGTCCAGTAGAAGACGGTTGCGTCTGAAAGAAATTCTTATGAGACGCTTCCAAAAAAAAATTCCCCAACAGCAAGAGCATGACACTCTCATCAGAAAAACATGATTCAGGCACATCCATCATCTATGTTATATACACAAGACCTAGCACACAACGGTTTGGCAACGGAAGAACGTTGGAATAATCATTACGTTGCGAATAATTCACATCTCTTCTAAAGACCAGTGACTTTTCGCGCTCTTCTGCATTTAAGGTAGCCTGATGGAACTCATTTGCTTATTCGTAGCAAATTGATACGCATGTCTGTGAACACATGTAGATAACTTTTGGATTCTGTGAGAGCCTTAGCACTCGAAATTTTAGAGCTTTCCATTATTTCAGTGCTTTCAGTGTCAGTATGTAGTACAAAGAAATCATAGCTTGAATGAGGCTCATCGGATGGTTAAGGCTAAGAACGTGACACAAATCCGCATAACGGGACTTTGTAATTTACGCATGGAAACCCTCTATGCTGCCTTCAAGAGGCTATTGAGTGAATGTTAGCTTATATCAGTTCCCGACGCAAGACTTGCGAAAAGCTCTTGAAGTCTGGAACAATGCTGGACCGCCTTGAAACGAGAAATTTGGACCATTTGTTCCTCAGTGGCTCACAGACGATTGTTTTGTTGTTGTTGATGCACTGGGCACCGCCACATACATGTAAGCATCGATATGACAAGGATGTGCTAGATACTGAGTGATAACTTGAGGTCCTGACGCCGTATCCCACGCTTAACCGATTCATAAGTCGTTCGCTCTCTTTTTCAAGTACTCTGTAAAACAATATCTGAGACTGCTATTTCGCGCTTCCGCAAAGAGCAGCGAAGACAGCAGCAAAACTTTAATGAAAAGTGGAAGATTTTCGAGAAATTTTGGCAAAAGTAGTAGGAAGCTTGAAAAACTAGGCTAGATTGTTAGACAGGATAGGGAAGGGAGATCGTAACAGAACATTTTCGTGGGGGGAGGGGGAGGGGCGTGTCGCTATTTTTCAGAAAATTCTTTCCCAGCCGGCCAAACGTCCGTGCCCCTGCTCATAAGGGGCAGTTCGCGACGCCTTGTTAGTGCATTAGCAAGCGGCATGACGCGACAGAAACGAGCAGCGGAAAAAAGGCAGGGGGGGCCGAGGCCAGATATCGCTTGTTGGCTTAAAAATAATAACGTCTTGGAAAAAACTCGCTACAGTGGCTGCGAGGGGTCCTTATTTGAGATGTTTTCTATCTTTTTTTGCTTTGTTCTTCCTTGTGAATCATTTAGCGACAATAGGTTTGTAGCTGCACGTCACCATTCACATTAATTCAATCGTGGGGTTTCTCGTAGATAGGGTAATGGATAAGCACAAGCAGGTCCGACCCCTACCCGCACCGTTTTACCCGTACGCTGCGATCGAATTCCATATTTCAGTTGTTTAACCGACCACTTCGGCTTTGTTTTTTTCACACAGTTAAAAGCACATTGAGGCAAATTACAAAACAGCGTTCAATTAACGCTTCGGAAAATCTAGATACCTCAAGGAACTTCACTTGTGGGTCTTACCTCCATCATGATTGAAGTGCAGCTCAGATATTAACTTCTAATTACAGTAAGAAGACTTGAAACTTGGCTCACCTCGCCTTCAGGTGGTGGTGAGGGCTTCCGTGCTCTTTCCATAGCTGCGTATTCACTGTTAAACTCGCTCATGTTTGGCGTTTCGGAGTATAGCAACATAAAATCACCCGATTTCATGAATTCGCCTTGGCGTCCACACGATAAGTTCAACATTCCCTGAATCATGCACACATGAAAGCCGAGGCAACATCTAGATTATGACCCCAGGGCACGTAGTAGCCTTGAGGAGAAGTCCCGAAATACGACATTGCTCTAATTTTCCTCTTGTTTTACCACTCCCTCCTCTCCTCCGTACTGCCTACCATCTTCCTTCTAACTTCTCCCAAGTTCTCACTGTTTTCCTAACAATTCTCCGTTTTTCCCAACCGCTGCCAAGCGGGTGGGAAAGGGGTAGTACACAGCGCACATGAAACGGGAAAAACCGAAAAAACAAACGAACGAGATGAGAACCGAAAACATTTTCCTCGAAGGCACACCCCTCTTTGCAGCAACCAGTGAGACCCCCCTCTCTCGCTGAGGTACCTCAACGTACGACGTGCCCTGCCCATAAGAACCCCAGGAAGGCACTAGGGATGAGTGAGCTCGCCTAAAGTGTTAGACGCTGGTCGAGTAGTCGACTGCACTCACCTCAGTGAATTTTAGGCAATGGTTAAGACGAATATTCACAAAGTAGTCAACCGTCCCCCAATATTTCCCCCTTTCATACGACTATCCAGTGCGACACATCGAGTAACAAGCATGCAAGAGCTAATAATATTAATAAAAATTAAACATAAACTAACGTACTCTGTGCACATTTGTAAAGCCATTTTTGATTTTTATAATGTCGCCCTGGTTCAAACAAATCCTGGACTTCAGCGTTCATTATCGTAAAAATAATCGACCCCGATGGATCTGCGATTCGCATACTCAACACCAGATTTCCATTCGCTAATCGACGGGCAGGATCTGAACCGTTTTTAGAGTAACATAGTTTCGGGCTGAATTACGGTAGATACACATATAAGAGCATTTTTGCTTGTTTTGTTGAGATTTGGTCAGTTCCGTGTTGGTTGGTCGCCTTGATTGGCTCCCATCCAGGTGAGCCAATAAAGAAAAGGAAAACATTTATAAGTTTAAGAGTGTGAATAAGTGTGAAGTATAGTGTAAAGTAGATGGTCCGCTCCGCTTTTTATTCAGACGAACCGCTGTATTTCGCTGTTCCCACAGGCAAGTCTCTACGCTGTGGGACGGTAAATTGGTACCGCAGTCATCTGTGAGGATTAAACCCTGACTCGTAAATCCGGTTGGTCCCCCAATTCATTGATAAGCAGCATCGCATTCAATAAGCCACTACGGCTCGAACTGGAAGTATAATAGAATGCGCGCCGCATCGCAAAAAGGAATTCACCAGCTGTCAAGACCTTTACTGTCATTGTTGAGACCGCGCTCACATTTTGCAGTAGTAGAGAATAAAACGTATAGGAATTGATTCAGCGAATTGGTAGAAGCAGAGAATCGGAGTGGTCGCTAATCGGGAGATTGCTTTCTAAATGGGTAAATTCGACCCATCTCCCAAATCTTTAGCATTCGGAGAAGACAGATTTTCATATGCTTCTTTGGAACGCATTCTCCCGATGAAAACCTATCAACACCAGTTGCTAGCACTGGAAGAATATGAGTCGACCAATTACAATCTAATCTTTTGGTGCACTTTCTCTCGATTCGCGAGTTCTCCGGTTCTGCTGTTCTCCCAATTTGCCCAATCAATACACACGCTTTCTTTTGGGCGTATCTTCCTATACTTGGACTCTCCTATTCCCTAGTGTCTAAATACATGTACGTGGCCTAAGATACGGGAGGAAAAAGATGAAGCATATTTGTTAAATAGGCTTCCAACGTGTTTAACCTACCTCACTTCACAGTAATTGACCCGAGGATTATTTCTGGGCACCTCTTTTCCTCACACATTTTCCGCTGTCGAAAATACAAAAGCTATCAGGTGAGAAGTGCGCAATAAGCACTGCTTCAGCCGTTATTCCAAACTAGACCTACCGCTTTCCGGACAAATGCACTAGCCACCTATTTGCCTTTCCGCTGCAGAAAATTCGAATAAGTATAATGAGAAATCGTCAAAATGTTGCCCTTTCCATTCAAATCGGTTCTGATTTCTTTTGTGGCAGATTGTCCAATGCGGTGCTTCCTAGACCCTTTTCCTAGGACCGAAAACTGAGCTCTTAAACTTTCACTCTAATTATTCCAGCCAAGTCAGCCACTGAATAAGGAGCGGAATAGAATTTATAGAGTTGAGCAAGACGCTGATTTAGCATACCGGGGCATTTGCTGGAGCCGTGTAGATCTTCTAGAGGTAGGTGAACAACTTCTCATTTAATGTGAAAACTAATTTTGCCGAAAAGGGAAAGGTTCACCAGAGGTCCTTTCACTCTGAGGTAGACAACGTTTTTGATCCCATGGCTCACAATCTTGCTACAGCACTAAACAGCTGCTAGCCAACAGGAAGAAAGGATTTCGTAAGGCTCCGTTCATATTTTCCGAAAAA